CCTAATAATAACAGTCGAAATGAAAAGGATCAGTCCAGCTCCTCGAGGAAAGAACGATTCTGCACATTGCCCTGTGCACTTGACTGACTTTCCGTAGACGTCAGCTGCATGTGAAGAATATTTGGCATACGAGAAAGCCCCAGTTGTCGTCGCCTACAGCTGGGCTTGTGATCCGTTCCAAGCGAGCTCCGGCAGTCCGAGCAGCAATGCAGGTCGTTGCTCCGGCTGCTCTGAGTTCCATGGACGCCAGGCTCCCTTGCCCCCGTCCTTTTTGCCCCATTTGGAAGGCCGATCGGAGTCGTTCTCGACTCCCTCGCTTCCCGGATCGGGCCAGTACCAGTCCTGGTCCTTGTCTTGGGACTTCTCCTTCTCCGTTCCCTGGCCCGCGGGCTTCTTCTTCCCTATGACCAGGTCGATCTCGTTCTGGGACAGGGCAGCTCGCTCCTCCTCGGTTTTTATCAGCGCATCCGCCATGGCTCGCTTGTAGCTCCTCGGAATGCAGCAAGCAACCAGCCAATGAAGCTTGGAACACTGGGACACAGCTCTTGATATGCTTGCGAGGGTCCTTGATCTGCTTCTGGCAGTATGCACACGGGCTCCGGAGGTCTAGACCCAGGCTAGAGATGCGGTCGGCCGCGGCATTGGCATGCTCCCACTCGGCTTTGTGCATGAGGCGAAGATGCTGCTTACATCCCGGCCCTACAGTAGACACCCACTGCCCGCAGAGTATACAGTAGGCGCTCAGTGACTGCACACATTCATCATCCTGAAGTGGACGTTTCCAGCTCTCCGAAAGCATGTGCCGAAAATGAGCGGACTCATACAGCGGCTGCACAGCTACTGGGACCTGCTCGACGACCTCTGAGGGGCGACCCTCATTGCCATGACCCTCAACTCCCACAGAAGCGACCTGTACTTCTGCAGGGGAGGCCGCCGAGGCTATGGGTGCTGTCTGCAAGGACGATAGTGAGGATTCTACAGCAGGGCAACCGCTATTGATGTGCTTTTTGAGCCCTTCAACCCGCTGAAAGGTTTCCCTACAGAACCGACAAGTAGGCATACCATCCAGTGCATACTTGTTATACTCTGCAGCAGTCAGCACCCCTTTCGGCTTCGGACGAGGCTCGGTTGCGGCGTCGGGCTTAGTAGGGTCCGTAGTAGGGGCAGGTTTTTGTACTCGGGCGCGATGGGATCGCATGTGTCTACGGTGCGTAAAGTAGATCCCGCAGTCCGGACAAGGTACCCCCCTAAAACCCTCCTCGGTGTCACGTTCAACAAGGGGGGAGTCCTCTACTGGCATAGTCCCTAGTTCAGCAAGCACCGCCGCGAGCCAACTAGCACTGTGAGCCTGCTGGCTGAACCGAATTCTCCTACTAAGCATCTTGCTGAGTGCTTCTCTTGGCGAGACGGCCTTCAGCCTGGCTCGAAGCCTGGAGTTACTCTCCCTGGTAAGATGCACAGGCGAGTTAGCGATGGCTCTTAGGGCTCGAGCGCCATACGCCTCGAGTCTGCGACGCGAACAACCTCCGAGGTGAGGCCAACAGCATGAATCCCAAACATAAGTGTATTTCGTACACAGGCTACGTAAAGCCTGACCCTGCATTGAAGGGAGAGCCTCTTGGCATGCAACGTGCGGAGCAATCTTTGCCTGTTGTGGATGGCCGCCTTGAGCCGGTGCTCATACGTTTGAATCTCAAACCGCCCATAAGAAACCACAATGCCCAGGTAAACCATTTGGTTGGCACGTGGGATGATAAGGGGCGATCCGGGGATGCCTAAACTAAGCGCGGGCTTACCATCCACAAAGCAGGCATGACGCTTGGTCCAGCGGCGCGCCGCACTGCCTCTGAGCCCTAGTACTATGCAGGATTTGGTGGCATTCACCTTCATCCCCGTTGTTTCGAACAGGCGAAAGAGGGCTCTGATGGCGCGCAACGCAAAGCCAAGGTCGGACAGCTCCTCAATTTCAAATGACGCGTGGCTGTCATCTGCGTAATGTGTTACAAGCCGTTCGGCCCAGCTAGCATCTGTCTGTTCAACAAGCTGGTCGTAAATCCAACAACTGTAAAGGGTGAATAGCAAAGGACTTAATACACAGCCTTGACGGACTCCTTTGGCCAATGAAAAGGTTTGGCTGTGTGGGCCGTGACGTACTGTGTAATTACAGCGCTCGTGAATAGACAGAATGGCCACTTGAAGGTCTTTGGGTACCCCCGCGTGCGTCATGGCTGCCTCCAATGAGGTGCGTGGAAGCTCATCAAAGGCGCGGCTTAAATCAAAGCAAGTGCTCGCTCGACGACCCGCCCGTCGGTCGTGCACGCTGAGTGTGCCGGCCTGTATACGACTGCGTACTTGCTTGCAATGAGAGGCCACGCGACAGACTGCATCGTCCAATGCTTTACCCGGACAGTAAGCGAATTGAGGCCTAGCGTTAATGTAACCTTGCACATACGGCATTGCGCGGGTTCTGAGTACCAGGGCCAAAACCTTCGCACTAGGGTCTTGTAACCCTAGGGCCTAAGATCCTGTGGGCGACGACCGGTCTTCCCGGGCTTTGGCAGCAACGCGAGCGAGCAACAGGTTGCTTCTTCCGGGCACAGATCTCCCAGCTCATTACTGGCATTGAAGATACGTTCACTGAGTCTGGACATTGACTCCGGATGAAGCAGCCAGACATCCGCTGGCAGGCTGGTCTCGGGAACAGCCTTGCCAGCCTTGAGCTGACGCACCGCGTCACCAATCTCTGTTTCCGTGAAGCTGAGCAGAGCATGCGCAACCGGGATCTGGTATTGGCTACTGGTGCTGAAAGCCTGTTTGAAGTACCTATGTATCTCCTGGAACTCTTGCTCGACCGAGAGAAGATGGCCTTGCGCTGAGCGTATTCGCACCTTCTCCCTTCTCTTCTTGGGTGCGATGGCATTTATAACCCGATAAACCGAACCCAAGTCATTCCTAGATGCCGCTTGCTCTGCGATACTCAGCTGCTCTTCGAGCCACTGGCGCCGCCTGTGTTGGCCAGCGGCCCGAAGCGCCCTACCAGCCTGCTTTAGTTCAGCTTGCCTATTAGCTGAGGCTGCAGCAGTCTGGAACTGCGTTCGCAGTGTGTGTGGAGTGTGCGACCTATACACACTCCACACGTGTTCAATCGCTTCCTTAACAGCATCCGTTCGTGCAAGGGTACGGGTGGGCTTGCGCTTAGAGGGAAAGAGTCGCTGACAGTGCGGGAGGATTCTGCGATTGAACTCTTTGAAACTACACTGACAGTCTCGGACAAGCTCCTCTGCAGTGGACATCACTACTCGGCGGAGTTCCTGTGCCTCAGTCGTGTTATGCTGGACACCCCATCGGAGTGCTTGGAGGGAAAACCTAAGGGGGCGTTGGGCCTTAGGGCTATTCTCCACCCTGGTGTCCACGGCAAGGATGCAGAGACAGCGTGATGCTTCGGGCCAAGGCGCCAAGGCGCCAAGTCCAGCGCGATGGGCTGAGCAGTCCGTGCGAGGGCATCTGCATGTCGTTTCCTCGTTATAACAAAGTCTATTTGTGTAGTGACTCCTCCATTCCGAAATGTCCCGCAAGCAGAAGGCTGAGCCCGACTCCAAGTATTCAGAAGTACAAGACCCTGATCCCTAACCAGCTCTTCAAACTCAGTGTCCGGTGTCCTGGTAGTATGAAGCACTCCTCGGCCAACGTGCCCCGCCATGGGTCGGCAGTGCGTGTTCAGATCAGCACAAACAGCCAGCATGTTTCGTGCTGGCAGTCCCTGTAAAAGCGTGCCCAGCTTGGTCCAGAAGTCAGCGCGCTTCCTGGTAATCTGATCCCTTTGCTGCGATTGCCAAACCCATTGGTAGCCCGCTACCACATCCAGAGAGAGCTGCGGGGTTGTGCACCGTACGGGCAGCAGTCGCCCTGAGATCCATGTCACCGTACTGATCTGGTCGTCGGAGAAAACTGATTTACGAAGGAAAACCGCAAGCCCGCTGTAACGCTGCTTCTCGTCTGCAGTCGTCACGACGATCCACCCTGGCAGCTGCCAGTGACCGTCGGAACGGCCGAGGCCATGGTGTGTTTCTTGAATTACCACCACTTCTGCGCGGCATCGATTGTGCAGCCAGTCTTTTAAGAAATCGTAGCATTCGCTTGATATTCCTCCGATGTTGTAACTAAGTATCTCGAGACGCTGTTGCCCCTTATGTCCGGGCGGCGGTTTCACTGTGGCCACCGCCGATGATCTTTGACCTGGCCGATGCTGTACACCCAGAGAGTGCGCGCTGCACCATCTGTTTCGGTACCAAGTCCCTCCAGACTGTTC